CCTCCTCCCACCGAGTGTATCAGGTAAATGTTACCTGATTACTAAATAAAAATGTGTTCTGCACTATCTTGATTTCTTAATTTTGGGTTGGAAAAGTGGGGGTCGTTTTGTACATGGGGGCGTCTTATTGATGGAAAACATTTGCTTCCAAGACATAGGATACAAGCTTATGCAGTTTGCTTGCAGAATTCCCTAAGAAAACTGGGTTTCTACATCTTCTCTATCAACTGGCCTTATCTCTCTCTTGCCCCCTCCCCCAAACAATTGGCCATGAAGGGCTTGCCTTAATTCACGGTCTTAAGAGGATGCCTCTGTTCTTCTCTCCTCTCTTCTTCTGAGGGTCTTTGGTTAGCAGTTTTCCTTTTTCAGTATCCTGAGCTATAAAAATGGTTTTCAGAGATAGACGCAACAAATCTGTCTTACACATCTAACTGAAGTCTTTTATTTTGATTTTTGTTTCAATTAAAACTTGATGAAACTCCTACCTTATCAGGAAGATGCTTGGATTTCCACATAACTGAATGTCTGGTTCAAAGGCTCAAGGTTGTTCTGTGTATTGTGACTCACTATTCCGTAAACTTAGTTATCAAGTAAAGCTTGTGATTTCAAAGCTCAGGTGCAGCTAGATGTAGGGTGACAGCCTTTAAACATTCTCCTTATCTTAATTCCCAAGGTGATATTTGGAGTAGAAATTCCCTCTTCCTATAGACTCAGGTTTACAACTTGGGAATTCTTTTAGGCCCATCCTAGTCAAGTAGATGTGGAAATACATCTGTGGCACAGAATGGCCTTTTTCTCCAATTTCAGTTGATCCCCTAGATCAGTGTTTCCCAACCATGGCAATTTCCATGTGTGTTTACTTCATATCCCAGAATTCCACGGCCAGCATGGCCATTGATGAGAATTCTGGGAGTTGAAATCCACACACCTGGAAGCTGCCATGGTTAGATAACTCTGCTCTAGATGAAAGAAATACACTATTAGAATTATATGAAATGTTAATTGTACCCCAAATCTCTCCTGATAGATCACTGAATGCTAATTTACTGTCCTTTAAATTTTACTTTTCACTCTTCAGGACTGTTTTCTCTCAATAGTTGTCCAATATTTGAGCAAGGAATCTAAAAGTGATGTGTCGCCCCCTCTTGTGGTAAATCCTCTGCATTACTAATGTTACAGGAAATGCCTCTTTCCTTTCTTTGCAAATGCTTAGTTCAAATGCCTTTTTGCTGAGATCAAGTTGTGCATTAGATTCTGATCAGTCGCCCCGATGTATTGTTCTCCCAATGGTTTGGATTATAGTGTCCATAATGACTGGGAATTATGGGAGTTGTAATTCATCACAAAAGGAAGGCAGCAAAGTGGCAAAGATTAGTATAAACTCCTAAGCTAGTGTTGTCCAAACTTGGGCACTTTAAGATGAGTGGACTTCAACTCCCAGAATTCCCCAGCCAGCATTAAGATGAGTGGACTTCAACTCCCAGAATTCCCC